CCTCATCCTCTAATGGTGTTTTAATTATTATGTTTTATTTTTTTCCACCATTAATCCGATCATTTACACCAATTTAAAAAACACGTGATGCACTTCTTTTGATTACATGTACTCTAGAGAGAGAGAGAGAGAGAGAGAAGCTGGGGAAATAATTTAAGAAGAGGGGTATCACAGCACAACCTGACCAGAGAGAAGTCACATGGTGATGATTTTGAAGATCACAGAAGTGGGGTCTGATTAGGCAGTGAATGAGTTAGGTGCAATTCCCTTTCTCGCAGACTGGTGTTGTGAAATATGAGTGTGTCAATTTAAGTTTCCTATCTGCACACAAACATCATACATTATTGGAAACATCAAACCAATTCAACTACACAAAAACATCTATGACTATCCTTGCCCCTCACTGTGCCACACAAATATTACCTTCATTGCTATTTTTCCTCTTCTCATCACATTTTCATAATTAACTTCAAATCAAAAAAAATTTACTACAACCACCAAAATTAAGGTAACAAAGAGATTAACTGAATAGGGTTGGAATCCATTTACCATCCCTCTGTAGAGAAGCAGTGGGATTAATTAGGACAATAAAGGAAAAGTCCAACCAATCAATTATCCTTTTTTGTTTTGAGATTAGAGGTTAAAGCATCTTAGAGTTTTACTCTAAACAAACTAGAGGAGTCTATATTATATTCTTTTGGCAAATTACACTTCTATCAGTAGCTCATTGCATATCTTAGAATAAAATACTTCCTCATAACTCGTGTCAACGATAAAGTAATAGTTTAAGCAAATATTCGTATAATATGTTACTGTGAAAAAATATTAGAGACTGTAACTCACTCTTCAAAAAATACCTGTGTGATATTTTTGTGTGAGTTTGAGTTGAGATGAATGATAGGTGTAACTGGTAATGAAAAGTTTTGAGTGAGAAGTAAGAAGTGATTACGAATGTTTAAGGTTTGGGGTGTAAGGTTGTGGCAGAAGGAAGACATATGTAGAACATTGAAAATGAAACAAGAATATGCAGTGTGTGATTTTTTGGTCCCAAAATAAGTAAGGTTATGCAGATTGTGCCACTATTGTTGAAGCAACTTTACACTGTAAACAAAGGGAAAATTGAATGATGGATGTCAACTTTTTTAGGGGAAGTCATTGCCTATCCCAAACAATCCCCACATGCATGTCTTTCCATGTGATTTTGGACATGTTCGGGTCCCTTCTCCTAATCATGTCCATATAAAGTTTATGTGTAGGGTTTCAACCGAAGTTACATTCACATAATCATTTTACTTTTTCCTTTTCCTAATAATAACAAGTATATTTCACTCTCTTTTTTTCCTTTCTTTACGCAACATCTAGTATGTGGCTCATATATTCTACTATATGCCATTATTATGCTAAAATAAAATTATTTTAAGTAGGAAAAAATATACAATTTTTCTATATATAAAAATCACAAAAAGAGTACTTTTTCCATGGAAATAATTAAGTCTTTAATTGATAATAAATTCAAATAAACAGAATCTTGTATCTTCTGTGTTAATCTTGTATCTTGTATATTAGTTGGACATTTGGCGTTGTACCAAATTTCAGTACATAATTTGAACATGAAAATTAAATCTGGATGACAAAGGTTTGGTGAAGATATAACAAACCCTATTTTAATTCCACTGAAATATGACTATACTGGATCAAATTCAATCATGAGGCCTTTCTGTCTGCATGTTGGGTCCACTCAATTAATCTACTTATTTAGTGCACCATTTCACACAATCAACAAAACACCAGATGACATTTTTATTACAATAATAGTAAAATGATGATATATATTTATTTAACATTTATTAGAATGATAAAATAGTTATATATTTTTTATTTTTTTTAAATGAAAAAATAATTCTAAATGGATGTGAAAAATTTATGTATGTAAAAAGTATTATTTGTTTTTCTTATTATTTCACAAAAATATTCAAGATTAGTTTCTTTCTCAAGGAAAATATTGAAGATAATTGATAACTTGTTTTGATTTTCAATTTGGGAAGTTGGGAATTTTTAAAGTTTGGTTACATATCCTAGACATTGTTTTCCAAATACATTTGTATAAATAAGGGAACAACGCCAACTGCAAGTTAAAGGAAAAATTAAGCAAATTAATAAATATACAAGAAGAAAAACAAGGATCCAAAAAGGTAATTAAAATTGGAAATGTGTAAGTGGTTATTAGTCCTTTTAGAATATATAAGATATATGAAAGAAGTATGATTTTTTTCAATTTTTTTACTTCAAAATTAAAAATATTTTTTAATTGGATAATTTCAAATAAAAAAAATGATTCTGGAGATTCTTATTTTATTTGAATTTTTTTTTTACTTTTATTCATAACACTCTTTAGTTTCATTTTTTATTGTATTAGGTATATGATATATAACAAAATTAAAAATTATAATGAAAATAAAAAACAAAAATAACTTTTATTCTATTAAAGAATCAATTAATTATATATATAAATGACTTAGGTGATGATAAGTTTGTTTAACTTTGATGATAATTGTATTAAAATTTATGTGATTAATAGTCTCATTTCTTTGCATGGACAATGTGTATCTATCTATCTATATGTATATATATAATATTATTTACGTGTAAACATTAACAACTATATATCAATCTATCGAAGGGTAACAGTGAAATGATGCTTGAAAAATAAATTGATAATTTTTTTTAATATTTCCCCACTTTCAAGTTTACAAAAGAGATAAAAAGAAAGATGAGTAATTAAAAAGAGGCTCTTTCAATCTGTAAAAGATTATGAAGCACGATACATATAGTTTGACAACTTGTTTATTTTATGTAACCATATATATTATTATTTTATTAATTATATTTATATTTATTAGTTAACTATGCCGTTTTATTACTAAAAGGAATGTAAGGTAGATGTTAAAGATAAAGGTGGGTCTGAAATTATAATTTCCAATAGTTTATGCATCGAAAGTGAGAAAAGTGTGTTGATTGAGACTTAATGAAAGTTGAAAGTGAAAAGAGAAAAATAAGAACAGTAATAGAAGAACATGGTAAAGACACTTAAGAAGGTCCCTTTTGTAATGCAGAGTAACATGATAAGGTCTTATATTACTCTCCATTGTGTTATCAAATTATCTCAAACCATTCTTTCGTTCTGCATCACAAAACACTATGCAAAATCATTCAATATCACTGTTAGCTTTCCCACCCAACCATAATTTTCAACTAGATATTCAACTAAATCCCTAGTAGAAATAAAAAAAAAAAGTTAAGATTTTGTGTTGAAAGTTTCACGTCAACTAAAAATAAGACCAATTTATAATATATAAGATACAAATCCCACCTTATAAATTCATTTTGTGAAATTGAGTTATGCTTAAAATTCACTTCTTGACATAATATTATAATTATGTTTAGAGCTTATATTAGCGATATTGATTAACATGTTGTTTCACCTCCTATCGGGTCAATCAATGTTAATGTCTATTCTCGTGTTTAAGATAATGTTTATATCTCATGCCAGTTTACTTCTTAACCTTTTGAGGTAGAATGATGAATTAGTATGCAGTCGAAGTGGCAGAGGTTTTGATGGGGCCAGACATGAAGGTTGGTTTGGATTTGAGAAGAAAATATTGATATTTGAAACTTGATTGGTTCTTGCTTCTGCAATGGGATCATTCTGAAAATGTAAGACACATGTTAAACACAGTAGAATGTGTGTAATGTGTTTGTTAGAATCATTATTCATGATAGCCTAGCACGTGCTTTGTTTGTAACTTGTAAGTTGGTTTTGTTAAAAATGGAAATCTCATCAAAGTAGATTCTTATCATTCCTTTGTTAAAAGGTATACCACGTGACACCAAAGATAATAATAATAATGATCATGATTCTCTTTCTCTTTCTTATAAATAAATCTTGTTGGGCTAATACAACTTTTAAGAAAAATAGTTTGCAACAAGTCCAACCCAACTTAGTTTTTTAAGGACTCCTGTATCTTATAAACGGCTTCTCTTTCTGCAACTCTCTTTTTTCTTGCTGTATCCCATAATTTATCTTTTTAAATGCATTTTGAAATTACATAAATTTTTTTAATATATTACAGATTGCATAGTTTGAAAGATATTTTTAAATCCGAAAATATCTTCCAATGATAATATAAATAAAAAATTAAAACGTAAAAGTAATTTTTATTATAATTTTTATGAGAAGTAATTTTGTATTTATGAGTTTTAGGGAGATGCAGGAAGAAAACGGGAAGGTGCAGGAAGAAACAGCCCTTAAAAGTCCTATTTTTAAGTTTTTGGGCTTTGAGATTTCTCTGCTCTGAGTCGGGCGTTTTTCTTTTTGTGGACTCTTATGGGCCCATTGAATTAAAATACTAACCCAAATTAAAGAACTTGATAAACTTCTAATCAATCAAAACTAAATTAGTAAGTAAACAGTGTATTAAATGATTTGATTTATACTGGTATTTTGAATTTTGATTAACATAAAAATATAAATGAAAAACATTTCAAATGAAACTACAAAACATCACACTACTTTATTAAAGGGAAATTAAATTCAATTTCGTTTGATATTTGGAGAAGGAAAAGAGTAATATACATAAATAAACGTTCAAGAGAATATATTTTGCGATTTAATAAGATTTTTTTAAGGTATCATTTATTTTTTTTAATTTTTAAACATATTTTTAAATAAAGCCAATTAGTTTTCTTAATTAACATAAGCTAACTTTTCTTGTGCCGGAAATAAAAATAAATAAAATATTAAAGTTTCTATTCACTAAAACTATATCATTAATTAAAAAATTAAAATTTCCTTAGATATATTATTTAGAATTGCTCTTATAAAAAAATAATTTATCATTTAAAATAATTCATAATTCAATTTGTATACTTCATATACGCTCTAAATTAAATATTAATTCGAGTCAAGCATAAAACCATGATGTTGTGAAATGTTGGATAGTGCCACGTAAACACCACCGGAACCAAAACCACAACGAAACATCATCGTCAACGTCGGGTTCGGAGTAGAAGCTGCAATGTCCACTGCGAGAGTTCAAGTTTCGGCGTGTGCGCTTTCCGCTGCCGTCAACAACCTCCGTCTCCGGCCAACCGCCGTCGTTTCCTTTACCAACCATTTCAGGAAGAAGTCTCTGAGGGTGGTGTCAATGTCGTCCGTTCCCCCTTCCCAACCCTTCGAAGTCGCCGTTAAAGCTTCCGTCACTACACCCAATAGGCTCGGCGACTGTAATATAATATTTTCACCTTTTTATGCGTTTCTTTGTTTTCTTTTGGGTTAGTTTGAACATCTCAATGGTTTCTTCTATGGAAATTGAAATTACTTTCTCGTTAAGGGAATGGTGATGTGCATGAAAGGATTACAGAAAGAGAAACGCGGTATGGTGAAGATGAAGGGAAGGAAATCAGGATGTATCTGGACTCAAATTATGTCCACGTGCATTCTCAATTTTCACTCATTTGTCTCTTTCTTTTCCACTTACTATAGAGGCTGTTTTGTTGTGGAAATGTTTTCTGTTGTCATGTTTCTACCGAAATTCGCAAAAAAAATGTAATCTCTAAGGCCTTGTTTGAATAAATGTCTCAATAAGTATACGAAAAAGAAGAAAATAAAAATGTGAACTTAAGTTTTCCATGAAGTTAGTTCAAGTATAGTTAAAATAATCTTTTTAGAAGCTAAACAAGAGAACTTTATGCCAAACTTAATTTTGATTAATTTTATGGAAGAAAATTAAATCATTTTATATTCCTATTTTCTTCTCAAGTTGAACGAACGGCCTTTCCCATTCTCATAGTATATGTATGTGTAACTATAGCAGAAGAGATTCGGTGATTTATCGTGTTTTTGAGATGTAGGGAATGAGTTTTCGAGTATTTTTAGTCAATTCCATGATGTAGGCAATGCCAAAAGAGCCTTCATCCTGGAATTAGAAAGAGCAAGTTTTATGCGAATGTTTTGTATTTAAGAAAGCAGATAATGATCTTTTGTTGATATCTGAGCCTTAAACTTGGCTGGACTAGCGTGGTTCCCATAATCAATTTTGAATTGCCTTTTCAGGTCCCTTTTGCCAAAGGGTATTACTAACACTGGAAGAAAAACATCTACCTTATGAACCCAAGTTGGTGGATTTCACCAACAGACCAGAATGGTATCTTCTACCCCGCTTCTTGGGCTAAATTTTTAATTCGTTTACAGTTGCTATCTTCATAAAACTGGATCACCTACATCCACCTGTCTGGTTCTCATACTACTTTAGTTGTTTTCTTATTTGCATTTTGTTATGTTGGTTTAGGTTCCTTAAAGCCAATCCTGATGGTAAAGTTCCTGTCATAAAGTTTGATGAGAAGTGGGTTCCGGATTCAGATGTTATCACTCAAACATTGGAAGAGAAGTATCCTATCCCACCATTGGTGACCCCACCCGAAAAGGCCACAGTGTATGCATTTTGCTTATAGATATATATGTTCTTAATTGTACATTGCTTTGAATTTTTAGAAAAATGATTTATGAACTCATACATGCGTAAAAACAGTTTTCTTTCATATTCCATTTTTTGTGTATTCCAATTGCCTAATGCACGGATTTTTTTTTTTCTGTAGAGGTTCAAAGATATTTTCTACATTTATTGGATTTCTCAAGAGCAAGGATCCCAATGATGGAACAGAACAAGCATTACTAAGTGAACTGAGATCTTTCAATGATTACATAAAGGAAAATGTATGACATTGTTTCTGCTTTTGTCTCTCTGCAATTTGTTTGCAATCTTGATAAGGTTTTTCATTTGGTGCTGAAGTTTTACGCATAGAAGAATTACCATGCATTTTTTTGGAAGAAATCATTGTCCTCTCTTTGCATGCTTCCCCTTTGTGAACCATTTTCTTCAGTTCGAATATGTTGAGGTTTAAGCTAAATGATGGTAAAGTGTGAAAGCTGAATTACTTGCAGTTAGTATGCCTATATTTAGAAGGATATTTCATTAGATTGTTTCCTTCTGTGTGTGCATTTAATACAGAATTCAGATATGGTAAGGATAAGCATTTGCTTGGGATACATGGTAACCTATGTATAACAACTTCCCCACTTTCTCGTCTGTCTTTACCTTTTCCTTGTATATCTTGGATTTAATATCTGAACTTACATAACAAATCCATTCATTCAACTTTTATATACTTTATGTTTTTCATGTAACATTCATCGGTGCACTAATGTCTTCTATACTATAATTACATAAGAGGTTGATTCATGTTACAACAAATAAGTGGGATCGTGCATCAACTTAATTGAGCTGATTATACAAAACGAGTCAATTAATAATTGAATGCTATTCTGTTAACAATGACTTTTAATCAAACAATTTAAATTCTATATTCTTACCTTCAATAGGATGTAATTTTATGGTATTTTTTGTTGAAATAGCTGTTTTTCAAAAGCTTTCTTAGGCTTACAATTTCTTGACATCAGCTATTCATGAACTGTAATAAGTAATTTTTTAAAATTAATTGCATCGCATCAAATAATTGTTAAGCGCCTATATGTTGATTAGATGGGTTTGCTTTATTATGTGGAACCTTTGTAGTTCATCTGAAATATTTATTTGGGGTGTTGCTTCAGAGTTGCAAATAGAAACTAGATATTACTAGGATAGCTATATCATTCCTTATGCTATACAGTCTATGAGCTTTTTCTGCATTTTGTCATTGTATTTTTTAGGGTTACGATCTGTTGATTGAGTTATCTGCTCTTTCATTTTAGCTCTGCTACCTACATGTATTGAAAACTTGCTCCCATGTGGACATTAAATGAATTTTTCCTCATTTATGCCTGAATTCACCCAACCTATTACAATTCTTTTGATCACCAGAGTGCTTTTTTACCATTAAACTTCTTGGTAAGAGACATTTTTTACTTTACTTCCTGTTGCAACATCCCAAAGGAAGGACCATGACTTTAGAAGTGAAAGTGATTTGAAGACGCCGTTGAAATCCTTTGCACAAACTGTGCATGTAGCTTAACTCTATATGCCCGGATAATGAATATAATGTGAGCTAGCTTTTTGGGTTAAATCCAAAGCCATATGCTACGATGGTTTTAGAATCTAAGATAGATTTGTTATTGGACCAATTACCATATTATCCTTCCACAAAAACCAAGAGTGTTGAGCAGGAAGGGTGTACTAGAAAAACCCTAAGTCTCATTAACCAGAGATGCTGTCAAGTTGTCAATATGATGCATAAAAGTAGGAAACATTGCTTACTCTAAGGTAGATTTTGTCATTTTGGGATTGAGTTGAGCCCAAATTCATGTTTTAAGAACATTTGCCTCTGCAAGTGATAAAGGAGAGACTGACACCAATTTCCATGCCAAATTTGTGCAAGCTGTGAATCAAGGAAGCCATGTGTGCTGCCACACTATCAGTCAAATTGTGAACCAAACTTTTTATATACATGTCACTAACCCTTGCTATCTTATAATTAGACTCCAGATAACGTGTTCATAGACAGCAATGGGCAAAATGATTGCACAGTATTGTACTCATTCATGTGACGGTTATCATTGGCCATCCCAGTCTTATTCTTCCTTATCTAATACAATCAAATGGAGCTGGCCATGCTGATGCTTGAACTTTCCAGGGGAGAAGGGCTCATTACAGAGCTCATCTCTGGTAATAAATGTGACAATCACAGCTGACCCCTGAAACACTACTTTGGAATTTATACTTTCTAATAAAAATTCAAACTATGGTTTCCTTGGGATGAACTTTTAATTATGCATTCCTAGAATTGTGGACTGGGCAAATTGAAAAATCTGAGAAAGAGAATGCATTTCACATAGGGATGTCAATTGTAATGAATGGATATCCATAAAATTACCAATAAAATGGATCTAGTTATGACTAATTACTCACAAAAAAAATTGTCAGTATGGGTACTATACTACCCAACCATTATTCACTAAATGGTGGAAGTTTTTTAATGCCTGAAATTTTCATGATTTGGGCGAGCTTAAGGGAAGCAACTCTTTGATTAGGTTAAGGGGCCCGATAATTCCACTAATATGTGTATGTTTATTGATAGAGAACTTGATCCAAGATCGTTATATGTTTACAACTTGTAGCCAGAACGATTTTGTGTTCTTGATCTATCCTTCTAGACTCTATGTTGGTCTTTTTTAATTGCAGGAAATTTTGTACTTATTTAATTGACTGTTTTTTCGCTTTTTGTAGGGCCCTTATATTAACGGTAATGAGATATCTGCAGCTGACCTATCACTTGGACCAAAGCTATACCATTTGGAGATTGCTCTGGGGCATTATAAGAAATGGACAGTACCTGATTCACTTACCTCTTTGAAGGCTTACACGAAGGTATGTTCTGGACGAGCCTATGTACTTAACATCTCCAATACATTTTTTATACTTGAAGACACTTTTCAAAACTAAAATGTGTGCGTGCATGAAGCTACTTCCCTAGATCCATATGTATGCTAATGATGATTCTCAAACGTTTATGGTTTATTAAATCTCTGGTAATAATGTCCGAAAGATATTCATCAATGTCGATGTCGAAAACCATAGAATAATGTATGGAAATGGTTATTAACAGGAAGAAAGACCTTAGCTCTGAACTTGTGCAGAACATAAAACTTGAATCATTTCATCAAAGAAGCAGAAGTATCATCTGCTTCTGAATATTTGGAGTGTTTGCTAATGGCTGTTCCAGTGCTAGAAAAGTTAAAACCTTCATTCAATGAAATTCCCTTATGCTAGTTTTGCTGATGTATATTAAATCCTAGTGTTAGTTTCTGAATGGTGTTAACTAACTGGTGGTTTGTCAGATAGTTGAGCCTTGTTGAGTTAAAATTCTTTGTATGAGTTTGCCATGCGTGGAGCTAAGAATGCTTTGAAAACTCTTTTGTTGGTGAAAATGCAGGCGATTTTCTCGAGGGAATCGTTCATTAAAACAAGTGCACAACCGCAGGATGTCATTGAAGGTTGGCGTCCTAAAGTAGAAGGCTAATAATATCCACTGGTCACACTCATTTTCATTACACTCTCACGACTATACCCCCGAGGAACAATGTATGAAGAATTGAAAGACCTGTATCGTTTTGTATTATAATCTTACTCATTCACTATGAATTATGGAATAAATATTTATTAACAATAGTTGGTCTCAGATTGTAACATGTTTGATATGAGTCCTGAATGAAAATAGTTGCATTAAGGCGAAACATCTTGAGTGTAAAAACAATGAAAGGAGTCTCATAAAAAACCAAAAAGATGGAAGCAAATTTCAAAATTCTGATGAGTAATTTGTCTCTTGAGAGATTGAGACGAAACATTGCTTTCAATTTTGGTAAGCCTTTAATTTTATGCTTTCATATTTTTGGTCTTTATTTGATTATTTACTTTTGGGGTTTTACGATTTGTATTATAGCTAGTTATACCAATGTTGACCTTACAATTGGTAGGGATTTAGTTCTCAGGACACGACTTCTTACTTCAGAAGTCTATGTTTTGTGTTTCCTTTCGACGTTTAATTTGTCCTGGTCACAACTGTGGTTTTTGTTGATATTGAATAATGCAAGTACAAAGGATTGTAAATAATAAGAATAACAATGTAAAGATGTATGAGATACTTAAATAATAAAAGTTGTTTATTCAAGATAGAGCTTGCATATTTTATTATTAAAATAAATAAGTTATAAATAAAAAAATTTATTATTTGACTTTCACTTTAAAAATATTATTATATTTCTAAAACTTTTATTTTCTTGTTATATTTGACTTTTCTCCAAGTTTCTAAAAGTTTTATAATATTTCGAATTTCATTCTAAAAGGATTAACCTTTGCAAAACTTTTCTCTCTTCTTTGACTTGATTTTTTTATAAGTTTCTGAAAGCTATGAAAATGAAAATCTATTATAAAGATCATAGTGTAGAATAGAACAATTATGTCAAATCAGAATTTTTATCTAAAATCGTCTTTATATGCCTTTTGTAAAAATAGTTTTTATAAGTTTTTAATACATGAGTGAGATGTTGCTTGCATGTGGCTTTATTTAACATAAGATGAATATTTGTATGTCTAGAATTCTTAAGTTATATTTATATCACTGATTTGAGTTTTATGTATTGTTTCTTGTGAGAATAAAATATTTTTGAATTCTTTTAAAATCAAGAAGCTTAATAAGTAAGAGAAACTGATTTATTTTCTCATTGTACTTCAGATTAGATTATTTGGTTGTAAGAGTAATGAGATCAATATACTTGATTTAAAAATTTTGATCTATTTGATGAATTTTGGACATTTGAGGATTGTTGAATTATGAATATAAAAATTTATTTGATACATGTTATGTCTTTATAGTTTTGTGTGAGTATTGATAAATTAAAATAAATCAATTGAGTCAAATTAGTTTGATTTAAAGTCATTTAAAAATTGAATATATGATTTTGGCATGAGAAAGGAGTATAAGTGCTCAAATTTAACTAATTGGTTTGTCTGATATTTTGAAAAAGATAATAAGACTCTACTAAACCTTAAATTACATATGTGAAAATATTAGGTATAGAGAAAGGAAAATGTTTTTTTAACAATTTTTTTAATTTTTTTAACAATTTTTTTACGATCACCTACATAATAGTTCGTGATTGGTTCGTTTCAAATATATAATTAACCAATAAAACAGTGACATATAATAAATTATATTTCTTAAAAAAATTTATATAATCATCCTAATTCATTAATCTAATAAATATAATTAAATAATCAAATCATTTACTGGATCACATCACATCAAACAAACATCACCACATTGACTCAACTTCGAAAAAACTTGTATCTTATCGAATTAGACTCGTATATATATATATATATATATATATATATACCTTAAATATTTTTTCTAAATAAATGCATCTTCTTATTTTAAGATAGTAAAAATATGACTATATAATACTAAACTACGTAATAATTAGTACAAATTATATTAAGAGAAAAAGAACACATAATCTTTGTGAGGATGGATTTGTGTGATCCTAAATTCACATATTTTTACTCAAGTGAAATTATTTGAAAGTGTTACTGTTGCTTTTGTACAACTATCCTCAAAGAATCCATGGTGGAGGAATCAATTTTGGAGAAGGGAACCGATTCTATTAGTTGAGAATCAATTATGAAATGCATGCATGATGAAGGGAACTGATTTTGTTGGTTGATAACCGATTTTTGGGGGCACACACATGGTGGAGAAATCAGTTATAGTTTGCAGGGAACTGATTTTTTCCCTTTGAAAAATTGATCTCTCTGATAAATCTTATTGGTGTTTGTCTCATGTTTCAGGAATAAGTGGATAAACCATGCCCCACTCAAAATTACTTAACGGATATCATTATTTTAATTATTTTTGTTTCATTTTCCACATAAAAGCTACTCACAGAAAATATTTTCTTTTGAAATCCAGCAATTAAGAATTGAGAGTGCAATTCAACTTCTCTTTTTATACGAACAAATCCGGAAAGTAGTACTAATTAATTATTTATGATAGAATAATTAAGAGAGAATAACATAAAATGAAGTTAACTGCTCCAAAATAATTTTAATAATAATAAAATTTTATTCTATATTAATTTTAAATATAAAATAAAATTATAATTTTATATTTTAATATATTAAAAATTTTATTTATAACATTTATCAAACCATTCACAAATTTTCATAATTTTTTTTTTATCTTTTCACTTTAATCTCTAAATCTCTTAAAATAAAATTAAAAAACTATATTTTTAAATTCAAATTTTATCTGGTCAATTTCCTTCAAATTCATCGAAGGAAACAAAAACATTAGTTATATACGAAATCATGAAGTTCGTTATACTGTGTACGCAATTGATTATGAAACGACAGTAGTCTGAATGCTGTGTTGGTATAGCTAATATTTCCAGTAGTTTTCTTCCATTAAAAAAAATAAAAACAAGGTTAATTGTTTTTACTAAAAAAAATATTAAGAAGATAGTTTAAAAAAAACAAAACTTGGGATAAAAAAAGAAGGTAATAATTGGTTGGGGAATGTGGTAAGGTTGAAAGTGATTGCAGAGTGAAAAAAGAAGAAACGGCATATATGAAGGAGAGGAGAAATATTAAAACCATTGCAATCAAACATCCCCATCCACATCTTCATTCAAAGATTAAAAACACTGCCACGTCATCGATCCGACCCTCCTTCTCAGATCAAGATCCAACCATTCCATCACCACCCCTTCCGCGATTCTCAGCCGTTCCTATTTGTCACATTGAAAAAACAAAGAAGCCTTTTGCTTTTTTATTATTTATTATATTTATTAAATTTATTATCTTCCTTCAAATCAGATCCTTTTGCTGGAACAAGACAGTTGTGTGAAAACTCTGCAAGCATAAACTTCAGTTCCTAAAGGTACTGTTGGAATCCGAGGTTCCAAACCCTCAATCAAACAAACTCTGCAACTAACTTTAATGGCTTCTGGAGACTTCATTAATAAATCCCTCTCATTTCCTCCATACCCAGAGGTAAGTAGCTTCTAACCACTTAGCATTAATCTCTTTCTTTTCTAATAATAAAGTTACCTTGTCAAATTTCCTACCCCGTAATTCTTCAAAAATTACCCTTTCCTTTTTCAATCTTCTGCTCATAATTAGGGTTAATCCCACCGTACTATTTTCGAATTTGGATTATTTTCTTTATAAAGGAACAAAGTTAGGAAGACTGTTTGAATTTTTTATTTCAGATGATTTTGGAGGCAGTTGAGGCACTGAATGACGGGAATGGTTCGAATAAAACATCAATTTCGAAGTACATAGAATCTAGGTACGGTGTGTTGCCTCCGGGCCACAAGGTACTGCTGAATGTACACCTTGCAAAAATGAGGGACACTGGGGTGCTTGACTTTTGGAAGAATAACTACACCAAGTGTGACCCAAACGCGCCGCCGCGGCGTGGCCGTGGCAGGCCACCTAAGCCCAAGGAACTTCTGCCTCCGGACACTGTCCTGTCACCGCCCAGGCCCAGGGGCCGCCCCCCAAAGGGCCCAAGTGACATGCAAAGGCCACCCAAAGCCACCGCTGGGAGTGGCAGACCCAGAGGCCGGCCTAGGAAGATGGCGCGGCCAGCCGGAGGATTTGGGGAAGCATCGGCTTCCTCGTTGAAGCCCAGCGCGAGGCCCAGAGGAAGGCCTCCGAAAGTGAAGCCTGGATTGATAGAAAATAATGCTCAGTAGTGTAGTAATATTAAAGCCCAGAAGGGTTGCATGGATAGGGATGTGTTGTTTCTGCAGAAAGTGGAACTGAATAACTGTTGTGTGTTGACTAGAGGCTTTTGTGTGTACAACTGTGTAGTTATTGAGACTTTGTTGGATGTACATTGTAATTGTGAAAATAGGACAATTAATGGGTAGACTTAATGGAATCAATCTCTAAAATTCTTCGTGTGAAGAGTTTGTATGTCATTCGTTTTAAACTGATTCTTGTCTAAACCTTATTTTGTTTTGAAATAAGTAGTTATAGTGCGCTTAATTGATACTGTGAAATTTTACAGAAGACTGTCTTAACCTAAAACACTTTACTACAATACTAGAATGTTTGAATGCGACAAAGTCATACCACACATCCTTTGCTTTGATGTTAATATTTTGATTTAGACTTGAGAGTTAGGCTCTGAAGTTGAAAGTTGAAATGGAATTTTGGTCATGAATCTTTGTCAGTGGCTTAGATTTGATTGTTGCAGTGATTGAGTCAATGCTTTGATGGTTGAAAATGATTGGATCCTTTGTTGAAAAGATCAACACCAAGCAAATTTGAGAGTTGAGTAGCACATCAACCTCCTAAATCCTGTTGCATGTCGTTTTTACGTCAGAAGGAGTTTATGGTAGTTGAACTATAATAAGAATGATAAAGATTTTGATATTTTTTTTCCTGTGTTTTATATTCTGCATTTGTTTTTATTACATTTCCATCTTACTACACCCCAGCTCTCTTTTTCCTCCCGTTTTCTTTGCTGTTATGACTCCTTTTTTTTTCTATATAGAGATGACGAAATGAACTGATCTTTTGTGAATTATTCGAACTCGTTTTTTGTGCGTATTGTCCAAATTCGCATTAAGTGAGAACCTTTAAAAATCCTCTCTGAGTGGAAGTCAAGTGTTAGTGAAAATCAAAAAGTGAAAGACAAGTGTGAACAGCTGAGTGGCCGATCGGTTTTGAATGTGGTGTAAAACTTGAACTTTCAAATTTCGTGCCACTTTTTCTGCATGCACCCTTCATCTTCAACCTTGTGAACCTTTCATTTTTTTCTCCTTCTCTCTACAATCTTCTTCTTCTTTCTACAAAATCTTACCATTTTCTTCTTCTGATCATCATTCAGGCAGCGCCTGAGTCCTCCTGGTGCCAAGAGCTTCACTTTGCACCGATCAAGTTGTTGGTTTGAACTGGTAAGTTCATTCCTCTCGTAGCACTGTTGCTTTTCTAGCACATGCAAACTCAGTTTCTGTTTGCATGAGACTATCATTTTTCTTCTATGAAATTCTGATAGCAATTCTGGTCTTTTATTTTGGTCTAGTTTCGTAATCGATGAACTCTAAGGGTAGAAGAATTTGTAGTGGTGAGCCATTATTCTGCAAGCGTGAGCGTTCGGCTGAGTTAAGAGGTAAGGAAAGCTTATATAATTTGATTAAGATTATTAGTTATGAATGGTTGTATGTTTGTTTGATTATTTGATGAATATGAAGTATTGGTGCTACTGTATGTTTGTTTATAGGAGTGAATGATTTATAACTGAGGTAAACTGGGTTGTTATAGGGTTTGATCTTCAATCTGCAGCTTTCTGCGTAATCCTATGTTTGACACCAAGAGTCATTATTGACCGTTCGATTTTCCTTTGAGCATTGGTCTGAATTAGATTCTTCTTCTATAGAGAATTTTAGTTAATGACCAATTAGTTTTGTATTATTATACATGTAAATAAGTGTTCGGTCTACGTATAGTTTCTCATTTGTACTTCTTTAATCAGCTTAGTTAAGATATTCAATAATACCTAAATTCTTAAATATTATATTTATCCTTTGTTGAAAATAAGTCATATGTATTTGTAATTAGAATATATTCCTTCATTGTATAATCTCAGTAGGCTTATGATGAGTCTTGTCTTGTATATGGACTGTTCGGTCCTATTCTGTGGATAAGTGAAAGACCGCTCGGTCTTACACTAAGTGTTCGGTTAGATTAGTTTAAGAGGTATTCTCTCGTTCGATATTGCTTCTAAGATGGGATATTGTTTTCTTGGATTGGTATGACTATGTTGATGATTAATTATGATGATATTTATTTAAAGATATGATGGATGAGGAATGTAATGTGAAGTATGATGGTATTTAAAATATGATATGAATGGAATAGTATGGCTATGAAAGAGTATTCCAGTGAGGAATATCTCAGGAATTGTTATGGAATGGTAAAATATGAATGTGGTCATGCTAAGGTGGCGTTTATCCTGATATTCTGTGATTACTCATTCTCAAGTAGAGAGGAGTAAATCATGTGAGAATGGCAGGAGGTCCTAGTCCATAAGGTTAAGATGAGCGAAGTATAATGGACTAACTTCGGGTGGCAGCTGTTGAGGGCATCCCAGCTACTACATCACCCGAGTGCACAAACGTCGTAGCTACACAGAATTCATACAGTTCGGACAGTCATAGTCAAGTGGTCGGTCGTTACATGCATTGATGTATGAGTATGATTGATTGTTGTTTGATTGAATCATGGAATTATATGTTTTATTGAATTAATTAAATTACATAAGCTTACCATATTTCCTGTCTTGTCTGTATTGTCCATTCGGCCGTCATTCCTGTTGCAATTATCATCCTGTGAATGTGAGCAGAAGGGAAAGAGTGCTTGCTGGAAGAACCCTTGGAAGAAGTGGAGGTTAAGGCTGAACCTTAAGACCGTTCGACAATTAGAAGATTTTCATTTTGTATAACCGTTCGGTATAAGCATGGTTTTGGAAACGTTCGGTCTAGTTCTTCTTTATGTAAAGTTTTAAATTATATGGTATTTTTGTAAGATCGTTCGGCCATAATCGTATCTTCTTTTCCTTATATAACTAAACTTTAATATTATTAATATGTGATTATTCTATGATATGTTTTTGGGATATTACACATATGTTATGATATGAGTAAATAATATTTTTTTTAATTAGATACAAGAACATAGATAAATATGTACATAAAATGTTTATCTCCAATTCCATAGTCTCCATATATATTTGTTCTCATTTGTTCCATTTAAATTGGTACAATATCTATAATATATTAAATGACCTAATATATTAAATTGGTACACTATCCATGAATTTAAGTTCAAAAGTTAAAATATTTATTTATAACTTTTAATTAGTTAATGTTTTTTTTAATTTCATTCAATATATAATATTTATCGGTTTATAATAAAATATATTCATAAGGAAATATTTGAAATATTTTTAAATTTGAATATTTTTTTTATATTTATTTAAAAATTCTTTTTAAGTCATTAACTTTGTTTCATTATTGTTTGGAAAATCTACATATGATTGTGAAATTTTCGTTAATTATAAAATGTTTTATATGATTTTATTGAATCGTTATTTGGTATTTTAAATAAAAATTTATACTATTATAATTTTTTTATAAGTATTTGATATTAAAGAGATAAAAATATGTCTTTTTGATATTGAATATAATAATATATTTTCTTTGATGTAATTTTTATTTTTATTTACAAAAAATATTACTTGATTTTAAAATAAAAAATGAACATGAGGATAAATATAATGATATACCGAAAAATATTGTACTATTTAGGTATAGGATAAAAATGAGGATAAACTTTTACTCTCAAGACCTCAAGATGGTGGGTATTGAAATAATGAAATTCATTTTTACATTGTTTTGTTTCGATCCTTAAATGCTATGTTTGATTTTGTCATATCCATATATGTTACGTGTCAGTTTCACAAAATTAGTTTTATGTATTTTTTTAAAATTATAAGATAAATTATATTTATTAAGTAATCTAAATTTTATTTTCTTAAATGGATTAGTCTAAATTTATTTATTATAATCTCAAATTCATACATGTTACAAACATGTTCATGAAGTTATAGTATAGGTTTAAAACATTTTCAAGTGTTAGTCAAATTATAATTAATAAGAAGTTTTATAAACTAAAAATCTAGATTTAAAACATTTTAAAGTGTGAATAAAAAAACACCAACTAATAAAGTAAGAGAATAATAAAATAATTAACATGTGTGAAGTGTTATACAATCAACCCAAAAAGATTTTATAAATTATATTCACCTGTTATGTTTTGTGGAAAGGAAGTTACTCAATCTTAATGCATCATTATAGTTCATATAAGACATGAATAAGAAAAACATAAGCATGACCTTTGAATTTACTCAATACACATGTATTTGTATAATCAAAAGTCATAGTTTTATAAGTATTTGTGAATACGTGTTATAGATACTTATTAATGAATTGTATGATAGTTGGTGATTCCATGAAGTTAATTTAATTAATATAAATTGTTATAATTACCCTATTTGTTTTATAAGAAGAAGTGAAAGTGTCGTGTTATATATATATATATATATATATATGTGTGTGTTCAATTTTTTTAAAATGTTAAATTTTAGATAAATATTTGATTTTATTTTGAATTACTTTGGAGACTTTAAAAATATAGTATAGGTATACGATTGTATTTGATATCTTAAACTTTGATGCTTATATTACTAATTTGGTATATTTGAATAAGGTGTTACAACATGCATTTTATATAATTTTAAAATAAATTGTTTACGGGTTTAAATCTTACTACATCTAATCTCATTAAAAAAAAGGAAAGTAGTAACTCATATTTTCACAAAGAGTCTAATTTGTTGATTGGAAATTAATCCTTACAAAATATTTGGAGAGATATTTATCATAACATTGAGAATTTCGGATCTGTTTCATCAAAACTTATAAAAAAGCTTCTTATATATTGATTTATAAGAATTCCAATGAATCGAAGTAACAACAAATCGGTGATTTTTTTTTTATTATTTCAATTTACTTTAACTAAATGCATGTTTGATGAACTAATAATCTAGCTATTTTTTTATTGGTTTAAGCCCTCTTTTGGTCCTCATATTTGTTGATAAATCTCAAGTGAGTCATCGCTTTTTAAACTGTCAAAATTGGGTTCATATATTTGTAAAATTGAGTTAACTTTATCCCTTCCATTAAGTTTTGATAAACATGTTAAGAGATGTTGAGCTGTCATTTTTCTAAAATGGTGTGGCATTGCGTATTAAATTGAATGGATTATGTGTTAATTCCACATCAGAAATTTCCATTCACAAAAAAAAAATTCTCCCACCCATTAACTTCGTCTTCTCCATAGAA